CCCTGAGTGTTCTGAATCCTCCTCTGAGGTTGTATCTCTCCACCACATAGCATCAGCCTTCAGCAGCCTTTTCTTAGGTGCCTGCGCTCCATGCCCAAAACTAGGAGACAGTCTAGAGTTTAAGGCATGATTTCCCTTGTTTCTGAGCAACCTGGGGCTCTAGGGCTTGACTAAGTCCAACTTCGGATGTGCCTGGTCAGGCTTTCTAACACAAGTTGTGGTGGAAATGTAGTACATGCGCCCTCACCTGTCGTACCTGCTTCATTTGTGGGGTGGCTGTGAGGTTTAGCCAACAGGTATTTCTAACGCGCTTTGGGATCTTTGCCTAGACGACGCTGTAGAAATCCATGGGATTGTTGTTCAGATGCAAATAGGCCTGAAATACTGCTACCTTTCTGCTGAAGGATGGGTCTAATAAAACCGAATTTAAGAGCACTGCACAATCAGACTTTCTCTTCAGGGCTCTGTAATATCTTACATTGTTTCATTTTCATTATGAAGAGGTATTGATCTATTCTTTGAATCGGGTCTGTCAGCACAGAAAGTGGAGAGCGTCTTGGAGCCCAGGGAAGTTGTTCCAGTGAGCTGTTCCACCTCTGCCTTTAGAGCAAAATCCTTTCCAGGCAAAAGCAACAAGTGGAAGCGTTTTGTCAGTTTGTCAAAGCAGCTTCAGTAAAGTGCTCTGCTTTGGCCGGCTCACCAATTTTAACCTTGGGAGGCATGCAGACAGGTACATTTGCATGGGAATGAGTGTTTTTCGGCTGTTGATGTCCACCTTGTGTGTGGCACATGGGGCCTGGGAGGGGAGGACCGATGGGATGGTCCTTCCCAAGGCTGCATGCATCCAGCGCCCACGTCCCCGTGGCTGGCCAGTGTGGATCTCAGGGCAGTCTCATCCGGGCTGACGTCTGCCTGCTTTGTGACTGTTTCTGTAATGTCGCAAGCAAAAAACCCAATGCCTCGTTACGGCCAGTCTTTTTGATCAGGACACAGAGTAGCTGAAAGTTCCCTCTGGAAGGCACGGACTCAGCTTAGGGGTTCTCAGTTCTCCATGGAGCGAGCTAAGGGGAGGTCATGGATTGGTTTAAAAGAAAATCCCCAAATCCTCATGGAGCAAGTTTAGGTGTGGTGATACAGATATTTTGGTTATGTTCCTTTAATGCACATTTGGGATTTTATTTATGTTGAAAGTGCTTTTCCTTCTCTGCTCTTGCATCTGCAGAGGGAAGGAACTTGCTCCCAGATGCTTCAGGCTGGTGAAATTAGAGGGTTAATTTGTGCTGGTGATTGTGTTTAACTGACTGTGGCTGTCACCTGCTCCCCTTGGGTGGCTCCACGGGTTGTGTGTTGTCCCTTCTGTACAGTCACTAGCAGTCTGGAGGGTATCATTAGTGGTAGGCTTTTATTTCTGAGATGCTTCGCTCTCCCTCTGGAGTTCTGCGGGCATGACACCATCTTTTCCTCTGCGTGTTGTGCTGGAAATGCAGATCACGCTGGCTTAATGAGTACCTTTCCTGCAAGACAGCTGTCCCTGGGCTCCTCTCACAGTGTGTGGCAGCGATGCTTGTGTCACTGCAGGCCCGTCCTGCCGCTTGGCCGGTCAGCCTTTGGCCAGCCCTGCTGAATTAATTGTTCCCTGTCCTTCTCCCCGCAATGCGTTATCTGCAAGAGATCTGGACTTGCGGCAGAAGTTGGTGGGTTGGAAAGTTTTTCTGCACTTAGTGGTGTTGATGTCCTGCAGATAAGCAGTCCTCCTTCCTTTCTGCAGCTTTCAGATAAGCCAGGTTTTTTTTCTATTGCCTACAAGTGGACTTGGGAATGATTTTGGGGGAACTTTTTACTCTTCGTTTTGCAGCCCTGTATTGTACTGAACTGTACCAGTGGCAAGACACAGCACAGGAGAGGATAAAACTGCATTTTGAAGCCTGAAGCCTGTTTTGGATGGCTGTGCAGGGGAGGATGCCCACAGCAGCTGGCAGACTGGGACTTTAAGAATTGTGCTTTTTCAGAGCAGAAAAGGGATTTGAGGTTGCTTTCATCAGGTTAGCAGCTCCACACCAAATCATTTCTTGGCAGATGTGAGCTCTTGCTCTTACCGGTTTTGTAGCTGTGATGGAGCCTCGTTCATTTACACCAACTGGTGCTCGGTGCACAATTCCTGTCCCTTGTCCTTCTCCTTCATGGCTATTGTCTCTGCACAAGGCAGCTAGACAGGGGAGAGGATCTGCAGATGGCAGAAGTCTTTTGAACCAGCTAGCACAAGACTTTCATTACTGTCACCCAAACAGCATGGCAAAGCCGCACGGCGCATGGGTTGGACACTGCTCCCAGCACGGCCACTCCTGACCTGGCCAGCCACTTCCCCTCTGTGCCCATCTCCTTCCCATCCCAGTTTGTTGTTATTTAAACTGTGTGCCAGGTTTGCAGAAGGACCTGGCTGACGCTGCATTGCAAAGCCCTGGGATGTGTCAGGCACACTTCTGAACGCGCAGCCTGTGCTCCTCTGCCCCGCAGGCACTTGTGCTAATTTTCTCCTCTGACCTCAAGGTCAGAGACTGTCACTGTCCCTAGCGCTCAGGTCAAGCACATGGTTGTTCTGGTCTGGGAGGTGGAAATGTTCATTGACCCTAGTGTTTGACAGCTTTAATTTTTGCAAAGGATGTGTTTCTTATTTCTTTGTTCAACATTCATATTCCTCTTGTGCCTAACAGCCAGCAGTGCCCAGACCTACTGGGTCCCAGGCTGAGATGGGCATTGAACAAACACAGAGCATCTGGCAAATGGCCCACGTTTTTCCTCTACTTTTATTAGATTGTGCAAAGGCAGGGAATGTGTCTTACAAGATAAATAGTTATTTGATATGGGAATTGGTTTGTAGTTTTGTTTTGGTTTTTTTTTTTTACTTTCCTGTACAGAAGAAATAATAAAAAAGCCTAGAGTACCTGCTTGCCTAGTGTAACTCCCTCAATTTTCAGACTTAGGTCCCGGGGATGTACTTGTATCACCCACGTATATTTGTGGCCTGTATTTTTTTTAGAGGCATTGGGAATCTTAACCCTGTGGTATCAGGCATGATACCAGACACCTGCATGAAAGGCAGCTCATCATCTCCTGAAGGAAAACTTCACTCCCCCCCTCACTTTTTTTTGCTCTCCCTATATTACCATAATGAAATGTCAGCTTGCCACCAGCTTTGCTGCGAAGCAGATGTCTCCTCGTAATTACTGTTGTTGCAGGGTTTTCAGTGTTTATCCTGACTGTCTAGACGGGCTGTTACAGCATTCACTGGCTCACAGCGTGGCCACGCAGTTGCTGCACATCTGGAAGAGGATGTCAGTGCCAGTGCTCTCCAGTGAGCTTGTGTCTGCTGGGTCTCCAGATCAGCTCTTTAATGTGCAAGGACAGCATCCCCTGCCAGTGCTTTAAACTAAGGAGAGGTCCTTGCAGAAAAAGTATCTGCAAGTGTGACTTCCCCTCCCCAGACACAGCCTACTGGAAAGTTGGTTTGAAAAGTTGAGTGAAGTTTGTTCTTTCTTGGTCCTAAAACACAAGCTGGGATGCTCCTTGGGGGTTGCCTTTGGGGCAATGTGTTGACCAGGTTTGTAAAGTAGGAAAGGGTTAAACCAGCATTTCCCCCCACCCAATTGCATCTTTCCTAGGAGATATGAAAAGTGCTCATGGGGAGGTAAGAAAACAAACATGCTCCATTTGCAAGAAGGAAATGTGAAAATTGTGATTGGGGCTGGGGGAGGAGGCAGGACGAGGGGTGCTGTTCCCCTGGGAAGGGCAGTAAAGACTTAGAGGATTTCCTCTCCTGTTCAGTAAAATGTCTCAGGTTTTCTACGGTTCTGCTTTTGGGGTCATTTTGTCTTCTGAAACTTGTTTTATTGATTTTTAAATTTGTTCTCCAAGTTCCTGAGAAGTCAGCCACTTTCCTACAACTCTCTGCTGCTGCTTCACTCAGTGGCACAGAAATGCCTTTCTTGCAACTGCAACGTTGCTTCCCAGATAGCTTGTAACAAGAGGGATTTTTGTTTGGTTTTAGTGCATCTCAGCCTCCAAGCTCTTTGCAAGATGTACAAGCACTTCATTTGGATGTACAAGCACTTCAGCTGGTGCCCACAGTTGGCCTTGTGGAGCTGGGACAGAGCTGGAGTCTTTGCTGCAGCCTCGTGGAGCGAAGGGCTACATGTAGGAGCAGCCTTTGCTCTGAAGGACTGCGTGGCAGAGGTTTGGCCACGGCTCGGCGTGCAGAAGTGGTCAGAGTAGCTGGCAGCTTTGGGGACTTGGGGTGATACAGAACAAGTTGAGGTCGTTTCTCTGGGTCCCATTGCGAAGCACGGCTAGAGAGAGAGTGCTTTTTCATGAGCGCTGGCATCAACCAGCTGGTGATTTCTCCCTGGACAGAGTTATCTTCTGAGTTGGAAATACCCATTGATTTCTGAGCTGTTGGCTGGACTTGGTGCTCAGCTGCTAGTTGTCTTATTTTGCCTAAATATGTCCTCTGGGCTTGTTTCATTCTGCCTGTGGTTCTACCCCTTTTGGTTAGCTTTACGGCACTGCAGTTTCAAAATAAATTAAAAATTAACCTCTTTATTTGGATCCCATAAACCTTTAATACAGCAAGTTGCCCAATCCATCAGCTGGTCTGATGAGGTCAAGCAAATCTGTAAGACTTGACTGATTTCCTTCTCTAACAGCTCTGCTCGGTCCCGCTGGTTGGGCTGTTTCTGCGTTCATGTCTGTTCTTTGCGTATTTACTGGTGACAGATGTATTCCGAGTGTTGCACTCCAGTGTACATCCCAGTGAGGCACTGAAAAGGAATAGCTATAGGAAATGGCACTTCTACTAGATTATATTGCATATCGAGCAGCAGCTTTGAGTGGGGTGTCTGAGCTTGCACCTTTATTTTCATCCTTCTGGAAAGGTTTCCCTTGCGTGTGTTGGCTGCTGTGAGAGACCATGCTCCTGGTTTTGATTTTTTTTTTTTTTTTTAAAGTGCACTACCAGAAGATCATTCACCGGGACATCAAGCCTTCCAACTTACTCTTAGGAGATGATGGGCACGTCAAAATCGCTGATTTTGGAGTCAGCAATCAATTTGAAGGGAATGATGCTCAGCTTTCCAGCACGGCAGGGACACCAGCCTTCATGGCACCAGAGGCCATTTCAGACACTGGCAAAAGTTTCAGTGGAAAGGTAGGTCTTTGCTCACAGCTGATGTCTCCTGGGACCCCCAGGCATGGCACAAAGGACAGCACCCATCCTTTGCGTGTTGCCCACCCAGGGATTGGGGTGGTTATTTCATAAAACCGAAGCTCTAATTCTGTATTCAGTCCAGGCAAAACTTACATTGGTTGTTCTGTGCAGCGTGCAGGCAGACTTTGCAGTGGATCCCTGCCCAGACAGGAGCATGTTAGAACCCTTTCCCTGCCCAAAGGGAAAGGAGGAAACTCCTGATTCCCTTCCAAAATAATCAAGAGACACAGGGGGCCGCTGGGCAGCAAGGTCATGTTTTGATCCCCTGAAATCGAGGGGCACTGCCAAGCTGATGCAGATGTGGGGATAGGGTCTAGTGGGGTTTTTTTTTGCCTGGAAGAAGACTTTTGAGGTTCAGCTCCTCTTTGATGTTCAGCCTTGAATGGTGTCTCCTGTAAGAAGGGACTGCTTCTGGTCACTGCGCTCCACAGCAAGGACAAGGGTGGCAGCATCTGGCCCAGCACAGTCCTCATTCACCAGGCGTGCTACAGACGCCTTTAGGAGCCCAACTTCAGCCGGGCACAATAAAATAGAAAATATTAAATGCACACAAATAATGTTCTGTGAGTCGGTGGGAAAATCCAGCTCATTCAGATCATCTGTGTTGCATCTCACTTACTGCCTGTACATGCTTTCTTTCAGGCACTTGATGTATGGGCCATGGGAATTACCCTGTACTGCTTTGTTTACGGGAAGGTAAGCTGGCTTTCAGATGCTGGAGCCCTGCATGGGAATGTCTGCCTGCCTGGCTTTTGACTTCATTCCTTTCCAAATAAAGGCAAATATTAGAAACAAAGGTCTACCTTCTACAAGCTCCCGTTTTCCCAAAGCACCCTGCGGATGAGAAGGGACTGATGTTGTGATCTATGAAAAGGATGGTTTCTAGAGTTGGCCCCTGTGCTCAGAGCAGTTGTTTGTGCTACAAACCCAGAGCAGCATCAGTAGCACCAACAGCGGTTTGTCGGGGGGTAATCCATATTGCCTGTATTTAGAAACAAGCCAGGTAGAGCATGGAGAGAGGCACAGGTTTGATCCCAAGCTACTGCAGCACTCTGTCTGCCAGAGCTGAGCTGGGCCAGATGGAGTCCACTTTGGCAGAGCCAGCTCTTCAGAGCTGCCTTCTGCAAACTCTGTGTGCTGTCATGGCTTTTTCCTCTCCTGTGGCCAGAAGCCCCTCGTTCCACCCACGTTCTCCCAGGGCGAGCAGTACTTGCAGTCTGTGTGTGCAGGTATGTTACCTGAACCGCCTGTCCAAGCACGGACCACTGCAGATCCCACCACACAGGCATAAGGCGGCCAGCTCAGGGGTAAGAAGTGACTGGGGGAGATGACAGAGGCAGAACTATCTCCATTGCTGGTGTGATATTGCTGAGTTAAGTCAGGATGGAAAATATTCTCTGGCCTGTGATATAATGATGTCTCATTTGGGGCCAAATCCTCAGGTGATGAGGTATAACCTTGATTTTATATTCTGGTATAACTTCATGCTGATATTACTTTCCTATGTGGCAAGCACTGGGGTAAAGAAAGAGGGAATATAAAGACAAGTACAGGCATTTGTTTGTTCCATGTGACCCTGTACAGTAAATATTGTACACTTTGTACCTATTTTATATTTCATAATTTAATCTGGCCAGGCAGGCTGGGACAGGGCCCACCAGCAGCCCACAGCCCACGAAAACAAGTGTACCTGCTCCTTCAGTTTTGATGCAGATGTTCATAGGGCCTGCGAATATGCTGCTCCTGCATCTCCCACAGTATTCACCGTGGCTTAGTTAACCTCCTGTCAGTCCTGCCTGCCCTGCTAGGTAGGAAGAGCCAGAATCTAGGTCTAAATTAATCCAGTATAAAAAGTTGTGCTGGAGAAAAATATGAATCCATATATCTGACTTTACAGTGGAAAGCCAGGTGTTTTAATAGTATACCTAGCTCCAAATGATGCTTGTCACAGAGAGACCTCAAAGCAGTGATACAAGCCAGGTGATATCAGTATATCCACTTTGTAGGTAGAAAAAATGGAGCAGAGAAAAGAAAAATGAGTAGTTCATGGTCATCTGGTAGGCTGGATGGAGGGGGGGTAGGCTGGGTAGAGGGGGGTATCCCAATCCGGTTCTGTATTCCTTAGGTCCCTCTGCCGTTCTTCTGCATTTATTATTTAATAAGGAATAAATTAATTTATTGTGTGTGGGGAGATCTTATTTATTTCCACCTCTGTGTAAAATTGAGAGAGTGCACAGAGAGAGTATACTGCTGTCATGTGAATGATGAACGCCTAAGCAGCGCCAAGATCTCCGACAACTGGAAAATCTTTTGTTTGTTTTACAGTGCCCTTTTATAGATGAATATATCCTGGGTCTTCATAACAGGATCAAGAACAAGCCTGTAGAGTTCCCAGAAGAGTAAGTAAACTTTCCGCAGCTACTGTAAATAAAGTTTAGTCTTCAGTGTTATTTACTGTGCAGCATAAATGCCGGCAGGTTACCACAGAGGGACAGACAAGGGTGGGTGAGGTGCTTTGCGTTCTCCTGGGTCCATCACATGGGGTTTGTGCTGATGTTGTTGTCGAGGCATTACAGCTGCCTCTGCTGCTCCTGTGTCCAAGTTGTGCAGATAAGGACTAAAGGAAATGGCTCTTGAAATTCTTGGAAGCAGAGGGATTTCAGTATAGGTCTAGTAAGTTCTGCCCCAGCTACTTGACCCTGGAGATGCTGGAAGCATGGCTCGGTTGGGGTTTGGTGTTTCTCCCTTGTGGTAGCCACTGGAATGATTCAATGTATTAGTTTTCAAAAGCAATGTGGTTTATAGGCCTCAGTCTCAGTCTGAGTGAACACATGCAACTTCCATGGACTTGGAGCTGGGCGAAGTGTCTGATGGAAGGAGGCTTGTCCTGAGATATACAACCACAGCTTGGTGCATCCCCACTCCTCTGCCTCTTCCAACATACTCTGGGAAAATATGGGTTTGTCTTGTGTGCTGGCAGACTGGGGATAGTTTTGGAAAAAAAAACAACCAAAAAAAAAAAAAACCAACCCAGAAATTAATTTACTCATTTGCTATTGAGAGGCTATGTGCCGCTTTGGTCAGTGAGGGAAACCTATGCTGGCCACAGTCAGAGCTGCGTGGTGGAGGCTACTGGGCTGTGTTAGGTGGGATGGCCGGCTGCACCGTCACAGTGCGTCCTCTAACCCACAACAGTGCACTCAGCCGTGAGGGGGGACAAGCCAAGGCCGCTCGCGTGCCATTTGAGCAGTGGGAAGTTCAGCGTCGAGGCGCTGAGCGGTGAGTGTTTGTGGTCTTGTCAGATGAGCCTGGCCGGAGATGATCACGCTCGATGTGTGCTCAGTCTCTGCCACCAAGCCACCTTGCCTTTCTCTTCGTGTATTGGCTCCTCGGTATTTCCTCCATCTTCAGGCCTCTAGTGACTTTCTGTTGGTGATTAATTTGTTTCTCCTGATTGCTATCAGATGAAGTAGCCAAAGCCGGACTCCTTATCTGCCTTCCCAAATGAGCACTGTAGTCAGGCAAAAAATTTTTGACCTTCTTGACCCAATTGTTCATTCTAATAAAAACTTAGAGATAAAATGACTTGATTTAAAACACGCATGAAGAAATTATAACTCTAATGAAAGGCACATCTGATATCAGAGAGGAAGGGAGGGATGTTGTCAGGCAGCCCACGATATGTGCATGTATCCACCATCTATTACATGAATTATTTGTGAGATGCTCACTGAATTTTTAGAGACATACAGCGAAGGGCCGGACCTCTGTCTTGGCAGTCCCGGGCTTCCTTCTGAGTCTGCAGAAAGCAATGGGTGCTCAGGCTGTCCTATTTTAGACATCTGCTTTAGATGGGATGACTCACGCCCCAGGCTCCACGGGCTGTATTAATTACCTCTCCATTGCCTATGAAGCACAGCCACTGCAGATAGCTCAGACAGAGCTGTCTCTGCTCAGGCTGAGGGAGCCCTCACCGAGGACTGTGTGGAGCACACCTCCCAAGGACCTGCGGCCACAAGGTCAGGCCACTTGTTTGATGGCAAACACAGGCCCCAGTTGTGGGTACGGAGCAACTCTGGCAAGCCAGCCCTGTGCCGTTGGCATTAAAAGGCATTAAAAGCACGAAGGCTGGTTGTGCCACATTGCTGTGTTCCCACCGGTTGCTCTGCAATTGGGGCAGGACTTTGTCTTGACAGCACCGGAGCCAGAAAAAAAAAGTTTGTTTCCCTGGCATGGTCTCTCTGCTTGCTTGGGTCCTGGCAAAATGCCTGTCCTCTCAGCCATCATGTATTTGGGTTAGCAGTCAGCTTACAAGTGACTGTTCCCATCTGTCTCTGCAGTAAGTTATTAACATTTAATGGGCTAACTGGGTTGTGCTAAGAACCTTTTCTTCATTCAGACGTTTCCTTCAGCGATAATTCGGCTGCATGATTTATTTGGATTTCTTGGTGACCTGCTCTCCCAGTCTAAAAAAAGCTGCACCCCTCATCAGGTTGTTGGAGAAGCAGAGAGTTACTGGGTGTTGACAGCTGCCTAAACTACATCTATTTGTTAGATAAAGGCAGTAACAGACATGCACATAAAGCTGGAATTCACTGGACTGGATCCACCCTGACCTCCCACGGAATTAGCACCTCGCTACAGTTAGGAATATTTTGGTTTCAATTTATTTCACCATGGCTACAAAAGACACATTCATGTTTGCAGACAGTCCATAGAAACTCATTGCCTGTTTCCTAACAACCTTTAGAACAGAGATGGAGCTGACTGTACCAGCATCATTGTCCCTTCGCTTCCCTTAGAGACGCTGGGATAAATATTTATTGCTCTGGAGTTCTCATTCATGTCACTGAGTCCTTGGCGTGACACGAGGTAAATGGGGTTGACTCACACCCTAATGATCCTGGCATGATTAAAGAGCAAGCTGGAGAAGTTTCTGTCCAGACATGTATTCAGAGAGCCAGAAGCTCTGCATAGTCCCTCCTGGTGAAGAGCTGAAGTCCAGGACAATGTTCTCTGACCTGCGGGCACCCTGTAAAATGATTATGGTGCTGGCAGCCCTCCCAAATGGGTGCTGAGCTCTGTGATGCTTGGCATTTTCCTGAGAGCTGTTACAGGACCATGACTGTGAGAAATTCCAGATAGCGCAGGCTTTTCAGATGAAAAATGCCGTTGGGTACAGCATGCACCATGGCAGAACAGAGAGAAGGAAAAACAGGCAGGGTGATGTGGTCTGTTACCTGGCTATAACCCACCTGAAACTTTGTGATCCTGTTTACAGGGCTTTTCCTTATGACATTAATCCTGTGTTGTATAGAAATCAGTCTGGTGCCCAGAAATGTTAGGTGATTATATATTCTATTTCTTGTATTTTAAACAAAGCCGTTGCCAGTTTGGCACAGATCTGATGTTAAGTATTTTAAAAACACCATCTCCCCTGCGTCTCAGTGTGGTCCTCCCTTAGGAGTCTGTTTATTGTGACCTGCTAAATGCACTCACTCCCCATAGCTGCTCCTCTGTGCCTGGAGCTCATCTCAAGAGCAGCAGAGTTCTTCCCATTCCCACCTAAATTGTCACCTGCCATGCAGCCTTGGCAGTGGGAAGTCTCTGAGGACTCATCCTGCCATTCCCCTTGTCTGGGCCATATTGCCTGTGTACTGCAGACCCTTGATGCAACTCTGAAAATGTTCAGACTTTAAACTGAACCCACTTTCTGCCCCTTCCCACTGAACGAACAGTGTTTCCTTGTGGTTGTTTGTTAAAGATCTCATAACCAAAGTCCACATAAAGTATTCATAAATTATTAAAGAGCAGCCCTGTTTTCATCAGACTAAAATATCCCTTCCTCTATGGTCTTCATTTAGATTTATGATAGTTTATTCCCTCCTCTGCTTGGGGAGGGTGCAGAAGAGGTGGGTACAGCACCTTGTCCTCATCGGTGTTTTCAATCTGAAATCCAGCCCTGCTGGGGAGTGACATTTTATGCTGCCAAATCCCATCTCCGTGCAGAAACGTAGCTCCTCAGAAGTCATTTGTGACACAGACTTTCAACTGCCTAGCACAATTCTGTCATACGCTGGCATTTTATTTCAGTAGCACTTTGATCATGCAGATCAAGTGTATTTTAAAGATGTTGCCTGCATCATTAGCAACAGAAGTCATTGAAGCCTTTGGACTAGAGGGACAGACTGCAGGACCAAGGGCTCCGTGTGAATAGGATGCCTTCTGGGTTCAGGCAGCTGCATTTCTCTTTTAGTCGTGTCTGTTCATTCCTCGCTTTTGTTACACCAAGGCTGATCTATACAGGTAGGAAATACCAAGTTACCAAATTGGCTGCCATTAGCATTCATGGAACCAATTTAATTAACACAACCTGCAAGCTTAGCTGGGAACTTGAATGTCAAATGGGAGCGTTTTGTCCAGCACGCGGTTGCTCATGATGCAGATTCGGCAAATCAAGTTATGCCCTTGTATCATAGAGCCCAGCTCCAGTTCTGCTCTCAATAACACTTTGTTGTCCTAGAATATGGCCTCTGAAATTCCCCTATAATGTGTTGTCTTTAAAAATGTCCTTAGATCCATTCACCTGATCCCTTGTGCCGCATTTTGAGAGCGTGCAGCTGTCTTAGTGGGCAGAACATAACCAAAGCCCGTAGGAATGACTGTGATGCCTGAGAAGGAACCTGGAAGCCAATTAGACCTTCCTTTATCACGCCAGGTTTGCAGAGAAAATACCTTCTGAGTGGAGCAGATTCTCTACTGAGTAATCGCAGTAAGGACTATGCATGCCTTGGGCACTTACAATTCCCTTGTTAACTGTATACTGCTATTTTCTTTACTCAGAGCACAGATAAGTGAAGAGCTCAAGGAACTGATCCTACGCATGCTCGATAAAAATCCAGAAACAAGGATAACAGTCCCTGAAATTAAGGTAAATTGGACATTGATATTATAGTCTTTAGTCTCAGCTGATTTTGTTGTTCCTTTGGTACCTTCTAATGAGGCAGAGCTGTTCCCGGTGTTTTGGGAGCTTTCTCTGGCATGCCGCCTCGGAAAGGGAGAGTGCTCATTTTGCAGCATGTAACAGCTCTGTTGCTGCTGCTTGTCGGGGAATATTGACAAAAGCTTTCTTGTTTACTTATTTAAATGAAAATTACTCAAAAGCTGGCTGATCCTCAGCGAATCCCCGGGAGAATCTACATTGTCATGGGGACTGCTAGCTGCAGAGCCTGTGCTGTCAGCGTTGGACCTGTGTTACAGGGGCTGGAAACATGTTCCTCTGGTGCTTGGGTGGTCAACAGCCTCAAGGCAGCACATTTGTTTCTATCAGCTTTACTTGGGGGATGCTTATTAACACAGGGAGTGACTAGGATTGGTAGAGCACAATGCTTCACAAGGCTTGGCTTCATTCTGGTTTTGCATGGGTTTCTGTCCTCGTGTTACCCCCCGACCCGCTGAAGACTCGCAAGATTTCCACAGAGATCCATCAGCATTCTCTGCGGGGCACACAATTCTTCTTCGCTTTGTCTCAGGCCAACACCAGCACATTTGCCACCGAAGCTGACAGTAGGAAGGTTGAACTTTGAGAAGAAACATGACATCGCTTCCCTCCAAGCCCAGGAGGCCACAGCGGTGATGGTGGGAAGTGCTTTGGTGCTGTATTAAGAGATTTCACTTGGCAGCTCTTGCAGGCACTTCGTGTGGAAGCCTGAGCCCTGTAAGAACCCTGGGGAGAAGAGCAGAGCAGGGTGCTGGCCGTGCACTGAAGATGCTTGATGTGCTTGAGGACTTCTGTTTGAAGCTGAAAAAGCAAGTGTCTCTTGCACCAGGCTGGGCTCTGGGCTCAGCCCAGGGCCTTGAACACTGCTTTTCTCATGTTCTCAATCAAGGAAACCATCCCATAAGAGGCAATAGAAAAAGGGCAGCTTTCTTCTGTTGTTCCCCCAAGAAAGATGATGGCCAAGCAGCTTCTTGGCAGAGGCGGCCGTGGAGTGACTGCCACCATCACTGAAGGCCCTGGCCAGAGGAATCCAACCCAGAGAGTACAGAAGAGCCTGGCGTGTGCAGCTGATGCAATCCAGACAAGGAGATGACACGCTCCCTCTGTATTTGCATTCACAGACTAATCCTAAGGAGTTTCTTTGTTCTGAAGTAGCATACCGCATGGCATTGGGGCTCCAGCCTTAGCTTCTTGCATAGTCAGATGTTTCTAAATGGCTGCTCCAGGCCTCCTTCTCCTCCTCCCTGGGTTCCTTCCATTTTGTTTTCCCCTGTTTTCACACTCCCCTCCTCTTCCTCTTTCATGTTCCTTACTTGTAAGATAAAATCCTGACATGGCTGCAAATGTTCTTGAGCTGACGAGCGTTAGCTCCATGCTGCTTCTCGTATGTGATCATTTATAGTTGATAAATCTTTGATGGCAACATTGAAGATAAACATGGCAAAAGCTGGAAGGAGGCGGTAAAATTATATAAGGGGGTTAGGCTGGACAAATATCTTAACTGCTCTGCCAACTGGGTTTGGAATTGCTGCTCACCATGGAAATAAATCAAGCAAATCGTTTCGTATGAGGAACATTGAACATATGGCTAGGCAGTCCTCTCCCTAGCTGAAATGTTCGCAAGCCCCAGGTAGACTGTAGGGTTTAGTGCACTGATTTCACTTAAGGCTGGACGTGGTGATGTGCCTTTAAAAAGAGTTATTATAAGCACAATTAATGATCTTTGGAAAATGCAACTGAATTAAGTGCCGTAAAGAAGCTCATCGCTAAGCCCTTGGAGAACACTCTGGATACCTGCATCCAACTCATTGGAAGGCAGTAAGCATCCATCCTAATTAAACTCCTCGTCCTGGAGAGTGAGGCTGGCTTTACTAGCACCAAGACTGGAGGATGCTCTCCCGGACAGGCAAAACATCCAGCCCTGGATGTGGGTAGCAGAGAGCCTTGCCCTTTCCTGCTCTCAGCTCCCTTCCACAGCAGCACGGCAGTGACAGGGAGGGATGGTGGGAAACTGCCTCCTTCCTCCTTTGTGTGGGTGTGTAAAGGTTTATGTGGTGTCCAGGTGGCAAAGTGTGTTATTTCGCTATTTATGTAGGCAGGAGGCCATTGCAGTAGCACGAGTCCTCAGTACTCAGACCCAAGTACTCCATTTTAAGCACCTAAACCCTTGTTTGTGCGGATGCATAAATGATCTTGATTCTCCCAGGTAGCAAGCATGTGTGACCCTAGATGAAATGTGTGCATGTGAGAGAAAAAGATTAAAAGGCTCTGGATAACTCAGATTTTCAAAGCATTTGAAACTTGATTCAGAGGGTGCCGGGTTCCTCTGAGATGCTGGTTGGTGGCAGTGGGTGCGACAGCACTGGGCGTTCGGGGATGCCATCTGGCCAGGCACCAGATTGCAGCGATTTCCAAGGGAGCTGGCTGAGCCGCATCGGTGTAAATGGAAAATGGAGCAGTACCAACAGGCAGCTTACCCCCGTAATCAGTCCTGTGCCCCTGTTTCCCTCTCGTCACCAACATTGTGCTCTGCTGTAGAAGGGAGACCTACAGCTCTCTCTGTGTTCCTCCCCACGCAGGTGCATCCGTGGCTAACCAAGGGTGGCGAGGAGCCCCTGCCGCTGGAGGAAGAGCATTGTACCGTGGTGGAGGTGACAGAGGAGGAGGTGAAGAACTCGGTGAAGACGATCCCGAGTTTGCCAGCTGTGGTATGTATAAACCACAACCGCATCCTCTGCATGGGTCAAGAGCATGATACTTTGCTGAAGCTCTCAACTGGTGAAGGTTTGGAGAGGGTACATGTGTGCTCCTGGCATGAGAAACTTGGTCTTTCAACCCTGTGTGAACTTTCTGTGTCCCTGAGTACTGCAGCAGCCTGACTCTGCAGCGCCTGACCGTGTGAGCAGTCCTGTTTATATCTGTCTGGCTGCTCGTAAGAGCTGTAGGGTCACACCCTCCAAGTGTCTGGCATCTGACATCCCAGAAGACCAGAAGCATCCCAAGTGTGTTTTGTTTCATTAATCTAGAGGTTCCAAGAAACCTCATTTGGATCCTCAAAATGAAGGCTCCAAACCTGGAGGTGACCTGGCCAGAGAAGCAGGGAAAGGAGATCTGCCAGTGGAGCATATAGCTGGCCCTTGCCTGCCAGCCTTGGGGGAACCACGAGTGGGTGTTCAGGGCTCTCTCGGTTTGTGTGTAGCCAGCTGAAGGTCTGCTCTAAGTGATTACGATGAGAAGGTGCCTTTGGGGATTCCTCACACTGGGGAGAGAGGTGCTGAGCACGTTTTCAAAGCTCTTGTGATGTTAAAATAGGCATTTGCCCCAACAGCCAGCTGGGGGAGTGAAAACCATGCTTTCCCCTTGACAGCAGGACCTTTGCCTTTGAACCCACAGGAGCTGGTGGCACTCTGTGCCTAGTGCCTGCCTGGGAGGATGGCCCAGGAGAGCCCTGGTGCCTCTTTCTCATGGCCTTGGACCACCATGAGTGGCAGGCAGCAGTCAGCAGTGTCTGCTTTGCCTCTTGCCAGCCATGGTCTGCGTCCAGGGGTCTGAGCTCACTGCCTGAGGGAGTGGCCTTGACACTGCCTGGAACTCACGTAGCTGTTCTGTGGGTTTCTCTCGTTCGTGCTCTAGCTGTAATTCTGTTAAATGTCTGTTGAATTATTAAAGAAGCTGTTGTTAGTCTCCTTTGGACTAACTTCAAGGAGGTGATCTGTCAGTCCTGTTCTCACTGGTCTGTTTTCCTTCCTCAAAGATCCTAGTGAAGGCCATGCTAAGAAAACGCTCCTTTGGAAATCCGTTTGAGATTCAGACCAGGCGGGAGGAGAGGTCCATGTCTGCTCCAGGGAACTTACTAATGTACGTATATACAGCTTTACCTGGCTCTGCTGCACATACAGAGTAAAGGTGTATGGGGAGGATGAAGGAAGTAGTTTGCAAATCTTTTCTATAGTATTTAAGGACAAAACTCCCTTCTAAATCAAATACTGAGGCTAAAATCTACCTTAAGTCCTCTAGGGTTAAAATACAATGCAGTAAAGCAGCCTAAATACTCTTTTTATAGATGCAGTTCTCTCTGTAAGACGGATTTGGCCTAAACACATGTAACGTGCTAAACTTAGGTCTGGTTTTTAACCTGTTAGTTTATAATATGCTGTGATCAAAGATCCATTAGAGATTGGTGAACTAAAATAAGTTTAATTAGAGTCTAGTCGAGATATGTATTGTTTAATTCTTCTCTCCTTTTTATGGACAACAAAAAAGGCACCGGATGAGCAGTTTGAATGTTTTATAAGCTGGAAATGAGATGATGTGGTTTGTCTGTGGTCTGGGGCTCGAGTCTGGGCAGCGATACCATGGAGATGCATGGGCAGACAGTGGAGAATGCTTTGACATTGCTCTTTCATTTGAGAAAACATACAGTATTTTTTCACACACCGAGTTGTGAAATGGTGGAACATATTGCAATGGAATATTTTGAAGGCTGGGTATAAATGGCTATACTGGGATTAAAAAAGGAGTAGACAAATTAATTGCTATTAGATTCATCAATGTTTTTTAAACACAATGGTCTTGGATATTTGGGGGGCAGGAAGGATTTCTCTGTCCTTTACTTGGCTCTTACTCTTTGTCCCTGATGTTGGTTACTGATCCCTTTCAGAGCCAGGATTCTGGACCGTCAGTCCAGCAATTAATAGATGGACCATTAGCCTGACCTGGGACAATTATTTTCATGTTCTCACCCTGCAGAATCTGTAAGGCTGCAGTTCACAACAAAGCTGTGTTGTCCCAGAATGATCCTTTTCCATCCAAAATCCCAGTACCATGCCTAGCAGACTCCCACGAGGGTGTGCTAAGAGTCTCACTGCACCTTTGACAATGCAAATAGAGGAGTGTCTCTCGCTCACGGGTGCGCGTGAGGATTTAAGGGCTCAGCTCAATTAAGGATGATGATGCTTTAGGGCCCAACTGTGTGTTGGAGACTTCAGTAAAGGCTTTGCCTTTGAGTCCAGGACCAGTTAATATTAGACAGCAGTTTAACAGTTAAACACCCCATAGGCTGAGCGCTGCTGTGGGGACATATCCGTAGAGCATGGCAGTCATGGCTCCTTTGCCAGCTTAGCACAAGGGATTTGTCCTCATTTGTTTCCCTTGGCTCATTGCCTTCCAAATTAGTTATTGCTAATTTGACATACATCCCTACCCATATCTTCACTATCATTCCTGGTCACTGCATTGCATTGCTCTGAGATGGGAGAACTTCTACTAAATTTTAAGAAAAATGTATTGTATGCATCCCACTGTCCAGGACAGCTAATTCAGAGCAAGGCAGGATTTCTTCTTTTCAAACTCTGCCTGAATTGATGTTTCAAGGTGGTCTGCTGTTCTAGTGCCTTGAACCTGTTTCCAAAAGGGACCTGTTTCCTTCCAACTTCATTTGAGATGCTTAAAAGCCCTCGCCATTAGTTAACCAACTGGTGGGAAAACTTCTTGACCCTGATGCTGTGGCTGGTTCCTGCCTAGAGCCGGATGCTTTATTATCTGCTCAGAATAAGTAAGTTCATTTCATCTGATGTAGATTTGCAGTTTCTGATGTTAGACATTATCGATGTCTAATCCCTTTTAAAATCTTTTTAGGCCTTCAAGACGAACTATAAGCCTCCATTTTTACTTTTATTTATCTCCTTTCTAAAGCTGCTAGTCAAATTCTTCTCAGCTTATACAAAACCAGCATCTTTCCCTGTCTCTACTCATTTCAGCCCCATGTTTGCGTTCAGGCCCCTTTTGTGGGACTATACTAAAAGGTTTTTGAAAACCGTGTATAACTTTCACTGTTGTGCTGCTGTGTCCAGTGCCCTTGGTTTACACAAACATGTCAGGTCAGGGATGGAGCTGCAGCCAGCAGTGTAAGCACTTAAAGATGTCCAAAAAGAATGTGAATGGTCTTTGAACGTGCCATTTCTCCGCTGCACTAACTTCGGCACTTAATTTCTCAATCTCGTGCCATCAGTGCCAATTTTTGGCAGTAACAATTGACTTCAGCCTAAATTAATTAATGCACAACTGGAGCTTTGAGAATCCATCTTGAAACCCTTCTGATTAAAAGAAAGACATTGGCTAGGTCTCTTCAACAATAGTGTCGTATATTAAACACTAAAGCAGGGATGCTTTTTTTTTTTTTAAGGAATGTGGATTATTTATTCAAACTTTGAAAAACGCTATACTGGTTGAATCCAATGAAAATAGCTTTACATTTAGGTAGATTTGTTGAATCTAATGACATTGATTTTAAGCAAACTGAGTCTAAATGGGAATGTTCATCGTTCCGTGAGTTCTCTCTTGATTACAGTGTTATTTCCACAGGGACAAACAGAGCCGGACACTAAGCCTATCCAGTTCTTAATTCATAGCGGGTTGTTCTGTAGTAAAACCACCCTTAATACACATATAAAATGTAACATCAGTGCAAATGTTACGAATAGCGCTGTGTTTAGTTAAAATAAGTTTTGAGTGAGTCTGGATTACTATAAATTTCTAGAACCTAGCAGGAACAGATAATATTGTTGTAGCATAAAGGCTCTGCAGAGTTCCTGCATGTCAGGCACCGTTTCCACCCCAGTAGCTGGATGGGGACCCCAAAAGTGGGACTTGCCAGAAGGGCAGCGCCTGCAGCCATCGCTGCTCTCTGGCCACGCTGCCGTGTGGTTGCCCACAAGGAGCTGAGAGAAAAACAAGCCACAAGTTCCCAAGCTCTCCACCACAGAGCTTCTCCTGCCCAGTGGCAGTGTCTTTAGAGAGCAATAAATCAGCTTTTGTAATACTGCATCTCCTAGTTTTAAGTCGAAAATAACTTGTTGTGTTTCTATATAAGAAAAAAGAAGAGCAATTAGAAAACTCCGGTTTCACATTCCATTTATTTAATTAGGCTGCATGTGAAATTGCCAGAGCCCCACTCACTGCTGCTTCAAGCATCTTGCATCTGTGCCCATACTGAGAACATATTTTGCAGGAAATCCTGACAGCTGAGTCTGCTTTCTGGTATTTGATGCCTAATTGATAGTTCTTAAAATGGATCTGTCCTTTAAGGTCATTTTTTGGGATTTGGAGAGGAGGAAACTAAATCATGTGGTTGAATCTTTTTTTAATTTCTCCCTGCATTACCTATACACAGTGTGCTGGGCTCTGTTCTTGGAAATGCTTCCTGCAGAAGCTGCATTTGCAGAAGTCTTTGTGATAGCAGGAGGTCTTTCATGTTTGCTGCAGCCTTTGTTCCTTTGGAGGACACCATTAAGACACCAGTGATTTGAAATAGTTCTTAAATTAGTATTGGGAGGAGAGAGGGCTTTTTTAGCACTCCTTAGACCTGGAAGAAGCAAATCCTCTCCTGGGTGTTATTTATTGCTTTGTTTCGTAGCACTGAAAAGTTAAAAAGGCAGCTGTTAAAATGGCAGGCACATTCACCAGATAGAAGGGAACTAAATGAAGATGCCCCCGTTTGGCAATTCTTGTTTTGCAACAGCTGCCTCTCCCACGAGAGCACCTCTGCACACCCAGAAGTCGTGTGTGAGTGCTGCCGGCTGTCATTTTACCCTGTCAGCTGTGCAGTAGCCAGGGCCGGGTGTCCGGGCAGCACCGGATCCTGCCTTTCGGCACTGCATCTCCCAGAAGATGCAGTGATTCATCAAGCCTTGCAGATCCTGCAGACCATGGCCAGGTTCAAGCCTGTCATTAACAGTGGCTGCAGAAGCAACTGATTGTTTCTAATTTTTCCAGTTGCAGACTATTTTTTAAACCTAGCTGTTTAGCGTTCACAGCTAAGTTCTGGGTTTCTGTTAGCAGAGTTTGCTACATTTCTTCTGCCTGCTCCACATTTCTCCTAACTGAGTCAGCACTGGCTTCACCACATTTTATTATTCTCATTTATTGCAGCTACTACCTATCAAATTAATTGCGGTGTTTTGACAGACCCAATTTACTTTCTCATTATGGCTGCTATTACTATTGATGAAATGTGGTTGTCAGCTCCTGTACGGGGGATCTGTCTGTATTTAGAAAGCCTACCCTGCTTCCACCCTCCCCAAAAAGAGAGCAAAAGAGCCGTCACTGCCCTTAGGGCCATACTGTCCATGTAGACTAGGCACGAGGAAGCCAGGGGGGAGAGAGAGGTAAAAAAGTGGCTGACCCAGGTCTCCAAGCAGTAAGAGCTTCTCCCAAAGCAGCCCAGGGCTCGGTGCCATAGGGCTGCTCAAAAACAGGCTGCAGAGATCCGCCTAGGGCAGCCAGGTTTACAGCATCATCTTTGGCAAGGCAACAGCAGCAGGTTGGGTTTAAATTTGCCAGATGTTTCCACTAAACATGCTCCCTTTATCTCTGCTAGTGCTTGGTGTCTGTCTTTCCAGTCTCGTGTCAGTAGCACATAGATGCTATCAGAGTCAAACCCAACCAAAAGCCGTATCAATTTTCACTGCAAAGAGAGAACTGCGTGTCTCACGGGAAGAGCCATGCCCCACAGTGGAGGTAGGTATCCTTGCAGTCCGCCTACGGACCGAGGCACCCACTGTGGCACAGGATTTTCCTCTGGCAAAGACCCACCATCAGCCAGACCCTCCGGTGAGCCCATGCTCACGTGGCTCTGCCCGCGCTGAGCTCAGCCGCTGCACACCCCATCGCCCGTGGTGGTGATGTCATGACCGTGATAGGACACAAAACCCCCAGAGGTGCCAAATTAGACAGACCAGGAAAGCACAGCTGGACATCAGCAGTGTGCTGGAAGCTATCTGGAGCTTTCAGCAGCGATAGGGGCTGGAGTGGGTTTGTACCAGTGCTACCAGTGCCCGGCCTCATCTGTCCTTCGAGCTGCAAGTAAATGTGACTGATGCTCCATCCTCCATTTCACTCTGCTTGCTAGGCTTGTTAGGTACAGAAATACAAGCTCCTTTGCCTGCTGCCATCATCTTCATGATCGCTTTCTTCCTTTGTCTCATTGTTTTGCTCTCAGGGACAGACTCCTCTTAAACACACCTGTATATTTGCATCCGTCTTTAAGGTAATTCGGTGTTTGTGTTTCCCCTGGGTGCTGTAGAAATGTGTGTCCTCTCCTCAGCCTGTGTGATTTGTGTGGTAGTGAGAGCATTCGGCTCCATCCTTCCTTCCTGTAGGAGCAATTTTACTGCAGTAATTCTGTATGTGTGACACTAATGTTTATGTATGCTTTTTTTTATTATTATTTGTAGTTCTGTGGCATTTCAGCCTTCTTTGGGGGAGGGAGGGGTAAAAAAAGCCAGTTGGGTTTTAGCAGGAACTGCTGCTCAGCCCCACGTTCACGGAGGGAATAGCTACAGAATTTGGGAAAGGCTGAGCTTTGTAATTTGGGCTCAGGCTTAATATTTAGTGGTTATGCAAAAGAAATAGAGCCGGAGCCATCTCTGCTCTAGCTGCTCCACCACTCCCCTGCGCTTCTGCCTCTGATGCCACGCTGGGAGGGCTCTGGGCTGACCGAAATTGTCTGCTGTGTGTGACCACCCACCCCACCTCAGCCAGGACTTCATTAAATCACAGTCATTTGTCCGACCAGTTGCACAAACCCATCTAGGAAGTGGTTGGTCCAATTAATTCTGTTACATAACAACATTCAATGCAAACCGTGACAAACTGCTTACAAGCATCTCAGTGTGAAGAGTCTCAAGATCCAGTGCTTAGGCAGGACACAGCCTCCAGCCAGGCCTGGGGAGATCTGGTCTGTGGTGGGACACCAGGAAACAGCCATATACCTCTAAACACCTTTGGGAGCAGCTCCACTGCTCTGGAGACTCTGGCTGGCCTCGTTTACTGCTCCGAGATGCACAGATGAGCTTGAGCCAGGATGTCCCGCTCTCCGACTGAGGAAGGACTTGCAGAGATTCTCCAAAAATCGTTAGGAGAAGGCAGGCGGAGGATGGGGACTGACGGGGCGCTGTCGGTGGCAGCTGGTGCCGCTGCCTGCTGCTATATTTTTCACAGAGAACTTCCCCGTGAGGAACAGTCCTCTTTCTTTCAAATGTATTTCAGGAGTGACTGCACAGCCCAACCACAGTCAGTTTGCCCCCAAAGTTTGCCCGTGTCCTCAGCAGAGAGGAAGGGGACATCACCAGCCTAGACGAGGGCAGATTATTGGTATTAAATGGGGACTCGGTGGAGGATTTAAGCATTTACCAGGAGCACGTGTGTGTGTATATGCTGTGACTCAGCTCTTTGTAGGTTGTCCCACTCCATCCCTGTCCTGTGCTGCCTGCGTTTCAGAGGGAAGTGCTGTGAGGCTTGTTCCTTGCTGGGCACAAAACACGGTGTAAATACTCAGTGGCTGTGATCTTCCTGCTGCGGTTAATAGCGATGTGGTCTCTTGGATAGTTGCACAGGTCAGGCTTCGCTCGCCTGGGCTTTAAAAAATGTAGCAGAAATACAGTCTTTTTTCTTAAAAAGAGTTATTTAATGTTATTGAACTCTTAAAAAGAGTTATGTTCAGCCTCAAGCCTCATAGCATAAGCCTCAACTCTCGTGCAGACTGCAGGGCGCTGACGCCTTGATCTCAGCTGCTGTACGTGCAACCCGAACTCTTAAAAAGAGTTATCATGTTCAGCCTCAGGCCTCATAGCATAAGCCCCAGCTCCCATGCAGACTGCAGGGCGCTGATGCCTTGATCTCAGCTGCTGTACGTGCAACCCGAGTTTACCTGATACTCACTGCCGTGCACAGCTGTCAGGTCAACTCGTTTTGTGTTGCACCCCTCCCATGCCGGTGCAAGGTGTTCGGAGAGGCAGAAGCTGCTGGGGGCAGCAGGGGAGCATTGAGCGTGCCCCGGGCACGGAGCAGGCTCGGCAGGACGTGCCGGGCAGCTGCGGGCAGGGAGCTGTGCAGTGCGGAGCTGCCTGTGCTGTGCCGCAGAAAGGAGCATCTGTTCTGGCGCGGGCTGATAAATCATTTAAAGAGGGTGATGACAGGCACTGAAGACGGGGCTGTTCCTCAGCCTCCCGCCCAGGGAAGTGGTCCATGCTCCGGGTTCAAGGTCAGGCTTATCGCAGGGCTTTGCTAGAGCAGAGGGAGAAGGGAACATGAGAAGGGCAACGAAGCTGGTGAAGGGCCTGGAGCACAAGTCTGATGAGGAGCGGCTGAGGGAACTGGGTTGTTCAGCCTGGAGAAGAGGAGGCTGAGGGGAGACCTCATCGCGCTCTA